AATGACAGAATAGAAACGATGCGAATCACGTTGTGTACGTTCGCCATGTACTCTGAACTTGAAATTAATGCGAGTTTTCTCATAAAACTAAAAGCATGAACCAAACTAACATGCCAATCACGATTATTATGAAATGAAACACACCTTTTACACGCATATTTTAACGAATATCGTCGACGCCCAGTAAAAACCAATAAATAAATACCAAGTAAAAACATAGGGATGGGCTTCATACTCGGGAGGGGCTTACGATCGGGGAAGTACGGTACTTTAACGCAATTGGGCTTTCACTCTCAGAATACTGTGGTTCAAACGCATAAGGCTCTAACCCAAGTTTTAAAAAGCACATTGTGCATATAAAAGTTGAGTTTATACTAATAGTACACAATGCTTGGCAGCATGAACGGCTATGTACAATGGCGTATACGAATGCGATCAGATACTAAAACGTCATAGCTTTGAAAAGTACCCGGATGTTAAATATGTTCGTTCGTTAATTATTCCCCTCCATGAATGGCCTCCATGGCAAGCACTTCAAATGCCTATCCAAGCTACAGTTATAATTAAAACAAAATTAAACCACTGCAATATTATTTCGAATACAGTTTAGAATATACACAACTATAAATTAAGGCCGCATTTAGGTTCGCTTTAAATTATGATAGTGATAGTTTTGACTCGTCTGTCCATTTATCGTCTTTGCATTGTATGACAGCAGCCAGTTGCATGGCATAAATCAAAGAAAGCTTAGAAAGAACTCCTCGTGTGCTGAGAGTATTGGAGACACATTAAAAATTAATTCAAAATTACTTGAACTTGAGATGTTGATGGAAACGCAGAAAATTAATTATGCAAATAAGGTAACGAACAGATTTAAGTGTAAAACTAATAAGGTCTGCACAATGTACCAAGTTTTATTGAAATGTGATTAGAACCAAAAAAATATTAATTATTACGCTAATTAGAGAATTAATATGAACAGATTTTAACCCAAAATTAATCAGGCTGTCTATTGTCCTAGACCATTTATGTACCAAGTTTTATTCAAATGTGATGATCAATACTTGAGATATACAGTATTCATTAATTATGTTAATTAGGTGATTAAGAAGCATAAATATTTACCAAAAACTAATATGGTGTATAGTCCTAGGTTCATTGAAATGTGACAGGTACTCTTGAAAAGTTTCGTTGAAATCCATTGAGTGGTTTTTAGACATCAGTACAACAGCCATAGAACAGCAAAAAATTTACTAATTATGCAAATTAGGTAATTAATAGGCACAATTATTTATCCCAAAATTAATCAGGTCTCTGCATAGTCCTAGAATATCTATGTCGCAAGTCTCATTGAAATGTGATGATTAGTACTTGAGATATCAGTGAAAGCT